GGGTAATCAAGGTTACTTACTTACTGTACTCGAGTAAAGGCGGGGAAGATAAAGTAAAGTAAAGTGTAAAGTCATGTCATGGGACGATGCAAATTGCAATGTAGTGCAGTGTTAAAGATAGATGAATGGCTACCTAGTTAGTTACAGTAGGTATTTTGATTTTTTGGGTAGATATTGTAGGCGATTGATGTGATGTGATGATGTGTCATCGGAGTATTGATTTTTTGGTTATAGATGAGAAACGCTTTTTTATTTCATTTCCTGATTGATTTCTTGCTATGGACTATGGACTATGGATTCACGAACAGTTGGATCTTGAATCTTGAATCTACACATGATTATGGTGATGTGGGGTTAAACGTCAAAAAGGGTCCTAAATTCCAACTTGCTCTCATCCAGGTACATAATCGGAAGAGATGTGTATGTGTAAGTGTAAGTAAGGGCAGGCACTGGTTTCGATCTTGAGATGGATGGGTGGTTCGAGATGAGATGAGATAATGCAGGTCAAAAGATAATACGATGCAGGAGAGAGTGTGATGCGATTGCGATTGATTGATTGACGTCGTAGTTGTGATAAGTTGTGCTTGAAATCGACGGAAGGGATGTTGTGTTGAATTGAGACGATATTTGATATCGATATCGATATTATAGTATCAAGATTCTCTTATGATATCTTGCGAGAACAGGAGGAAATCATCGGGTCGTGATCAGATAATGGAAATCACTAGATCATGCATCGTGAATGATTTGATCTGAGTATGCGAGATTGAATAATCCTGATTATCTATTCGGATGTTGTGACATTGGGAGAGATAATCTTCTTTGCTCTGATGTATGTTGTGACATTCATAATCCTCATTGTGATTCTGTAATGGGGGGTCAACGCAACGGAACCCGAATGGTATAATGCGGTACGTATAATATGCAATGTTCTATTACTCAATAGAACATGATTTATATGCAGGAAGATGATGATAGATATGAGATAAGAAGAAGAAGGCGAAACGCGGAATGATAGGTGATTATATGAGGCAAACATAAAAGTATTGTACTTCACAAATAAAACACGATCCCAATCCTAGTACAGCTGGGGGATAAGGTCGTGTAACTTGACGCTTCCATACACATAACACAACTATGCAGCACACAAGTCAAATGTGTCATATGATAAAAATGAAAGAAGATGGCTTGGCGGGGTACGTTTCGGAGATAGAAAGTCCATGAGAAAATCATGAATGTCCGATATGTTGAGAAACCATCAAACAAAAAGCTCGCGAAGCAAATGGAATACTACACAAAACTAAAAAAAAAAAAGTGATAGATTATGAAGTTATGTCGGACGACGAGGGAAACCTCTCAAGGCAATAGATGTCTTGCAGTTCTTGGAAACTTTCAATATCCGGGTTGATGGGGCATTCCATTGTTCTGGTGGAAGCGGTTAAATATGTAATGTTGTGTTGTCTGATTTGGGCAAAAGAGATGAAAGTTTGGAACAAATGGTTGAATATTGATGGATGATGGTGGTATGAGTGACATTCGCGGGAGTGTAGTGATGGTGGTACATCTTGCATTCCGGGCTGGGGAGGGGAGGAGGGATTCCTTTCTTCTCTGCGTTGTGTATGAAGATATAATATGTATGTAGTGGTTGTCAGACTGCATGTTGCTGCGTGTTGTGTTGTTTCTTTCCTTTCTTCCGTCTTCGGAAATTCGAAATGTTGTATTCAGCGCACGAAGGGTATTGACATGGTAGTTTTGGTGGTGGTGGTATGAAAGTTCTAGACATGAAAAAGATTCTTGGAAAAAAGCTCGTATGAGAATTCTCACGATACTGTAATGTATGAAAAGATTCGGATGTTGTGTTTCGAGTGAAGTCCTACAGTCGAGTACAAGTCGAAAGTGATGACTTCTTCATTACTAAGTACCAATTGATATAGATTGGAATATGCAACTTAAGTATCAGTACTTAGGGTTGTGAGTGAATATTGAATCTTTTATAGTAATTATTGAATATAAGAAGTATATTGGAAACACACCGAGTTGATTAATTCGATCATCTAGGCGGATATATTCCGTGATGAATTTGGTGACTTGTGACTTTGTGATCCCATTAGCCTCAACAAAAAGAAAAGAATGTTGTCTTCCTGTTGTTGCCTTGTACAGTAGTTGCCTTTGCCTTGTAGTTGTAGAAAAGAAAGTCTTGTTCGCCTTTTCACCATTTATGAATTGAATAGCTGAATTTGCTATTCCATTTCTTGCTGACCGAGGTTGGCAAATATCCCATTCTACGTTGTGAGTGGTTTCCATGGATTGACAAGGTATGTAAGAAGATATGTCACACCCGTTAGGAGTCATTTGCCTCGTTAAATATAGCATTTCTTCAAATGACTGGTATGTATATGCAAATGGCTGATACAGTTCAGGAGTAAAGGTAAAGTAAAATAGAACAGAACAGAGTAGTAGAGGAGTAGTAGAAAAGAAATAGAGTAGAGTAGAGTAGAATAAAGTAATAGAAAATAATAGAGTGAAAGAGAGTAGAGGAAGAGAGTAGAGTAGGATATACAAGTATTAAGAAAAGATTAGAATGTTATTTATACTATCGATTGGTGCTAAAAGACAGGGATATTTAACCAGGTTAGTGATAGAACAACTAGAACAATCCTTGGAACTCAAGAAGCCAATTAAAGATATACACTAATATATAATATATATATATATATATATACTAATAAACACTAATAAACACTAAAATTACCCTAATACTACTCTAATCACTCTAGTCACTTTTGAGTTTTAACTCTAAACACAAGCTCTTCTCTCGGTTCTGCAGGCAAAACGACCAAACTTTTGAGCTTCAGGTGCTGCAATGTGTGTGATATGATGTGATGCGAATTATATATTATTCTCCCCAAGGAATGAAATCCCATTACATGCATTGCTGTCACACTAACCCGAAAAGTCTTGTTTAAAAAGAGTAATCATTCTACTTGAAGGAAAGGAATCTCCCATATTTGAAAAGTAAGACTTACTTTTATACTCGAGTACTTATTGCACCTCTCACCTTCTCACCTCTCACCTCTTACCTCTCTTACCTCTTGCCTCTTGCATTCATTGCAACTCTTTCTACTCTACTCAAACTCAACTCATCCATTCATCCATCCATCCATCCATCAATCTACCTTTTCTATTCACTGAGCCATCTTACCCACCTACACTTCCTTGCTTTCCATTCTATGAGCAATCATCATTTGACTTGACTTTGACCTTTCTATCACGAATTCACGGATAGCAAAGGCGACCTGCAGCTGAAACCAAGTAAATATCCACGAGGTAAGTGTCTGATGATCAATCTACCCGTTAGCAAACAATCAACCTGGTGATTGGTAGCTGTGCAACAAGTGAATCTGCAAGATTTACTTTTTTTGATTCGATTCGGCAACCTAGCTAACTTGAGATTCGTCAAATCAGATTACTCATTGAATTACACATTCGATAATCCATTCGCAGAAATACAAGCCCACCACAATTGCACACCAAAATTGCAGATTAGGCAGGCAACCGTCAACCACGCCACTTTGAATTTCATAGTAATTTATATCTTAACCCACAATCCATCATTCGCAACAACCACATCCTTCAAAAACAAGAAAAAGACAAGGTTTATTGAACAAGATGGATACCCCAAGTTCGAGCAAAGGTAGTGATCAGGTCACTGAGAGGGATGAGCCTGTACCCGTAGCTACTGGCGAGGGATCATCAACTACACAGATCGAGGCTAAACCGCGACAGACTACGGATAAGCACTGTAAAGTAAAGAAGTCCAAGAAGGATAAGGCAGATAAGAGCTGCAAGTCTAAGAGCAAGAAAACTAAAGAGGCAGTGGAGACGGAGTCTGAGAGCGAATATGATGAAGCCTCGGATTCGAATTCTTCTTCTTCTTCCTCTTCTAGTGAACCTGATGACTCTGAAACCGAGACGGAAAAGGAAAAGAAGAAGAGAAAGGCAAAATTGAAGGCTAAACAAAAGCTCAAGGCAAAGCGTAAGGCTAAATCAAAGAAGAGGTCCAAGAAAGATGTGGGTACCAGTGGGTTCCATTCTTAAATACGCTAGATACTGATACTTTCTAGGATACTTCGGACTCCGATTCAAATTCCGATTCCGATTCCGAGGACGAGGATGAAGAGAGCGAAGAAGATTCCGGAGATGCGGAAGCCGATGATGATGCCGATGAGGAGATTGAAGTTACCAATGCACAACTCCAAGCACAATTGCTGCAACTTCAAGCACAAATTCAGAGAACCCAAATATCACATCCTCCTCCACAATTACCACCAGCATTATGGAGTCTTCCACCTCCACCCTCTCCACCCAATGCGCATCTCCTTGGCTCAAGACGTCAAGCTTTGCGAAGAAGGCTTTTGTTGGATGAGAGGAGAGAAGGGAAAAGGGGTAGCAAAGATAAGGGCAAGAAGAAGAGGGGAAGCAAGTTGGAATACAAAAGAGTAGATCAATTATGGGACAGCACAATCCATAACTACAAGCTTACCGATACTGCAGAGGATGAAGAGAGTTCGGAATATGATCAATATCTCTTCAACGTTCGCCGAACATTTGACTGGGAGGGAAAATATAAGGTATGTTCTCTAAATCTCTTCCTTGACTGCCTGCTAACAGCTCTAAGGCAACGGTTGTTGATATCAAGAGCAAGCTTTTGAAAGAGGCGCTTAATGAAGCTATGGATGGTGTCAAGGGTGTCAGTTTGGTCGAAGAGACCCCATGCATTGATCCTAATCTCCTTTTCCTCTACCTCGAGGATCTCCGGAAATCTTGTAAGCAATTGAAAAACAAGAAGGTTACCGAAAAGAAAGGCAAGAAGAAGATCAAGAAGAGAAATGAGACCAAGAGAAAACACCTCAAAGTTCTCTTGAAATATCTCGATCGGGACTATGCTTCCACCAAGAAGACTCTCTATCCCATGTTGGAGACTGGAATCATTACATTCGATCTTCTCTGGGCCTTGTATAAACCTAATACATTGGCTTATACCACAACTTATGGAACCGTCGATGAGCCAAGAGCTTTCAAAATCGAGTTGGCTGAAAAGAATGTCAGTTTCATGAGGGGATCTTGGTATAATATTGAGGGTAAATATTTGGAGTATGATGGAAAGACGTGGGGAATGGGTAATGTTACATCTATGTTTCACCAAAACAATCCACTAACGTCATCATAGGTACCATGGACTGTGATGTTCCAGCCTTCAAGGGCGCGAGAAAGATCACAAGTCTTAATTGCTATCCTTTGAAATATCACAAGAATGAAGCCAAACTTCGCACCGAACTGATTGAGAGAGGTAAGAAATTTGTGGCATTACAAGGTGTTCATTACAAGAGTCACAAGGGAATGGCATACTATAAGAAGCGAAAGGCTATTGTCAAGGTCAATATTGATGGTAGAGTTATGGTCGACCCCGCAATTCATCGACGCATCTTGCCGAATTACAACGTCAGCACCGTCAAGCCCAATGATCCAGATCTTATTGACGACTCAGATATGGAGGATGATGACGACTGCGGTTGCTGCGGCGATGATAGCTCTGATGATGGTCAAGGAGAACGTGTTTTGGAACAGCTAGAGGAAGTCGATGAACCAAAGATGAAGTTCAAGGTGTTTCTTGATGAAAAGGAGAACCCTCATCTTGTTCAAGTTCCCGTGGATGAAGATGGCAACGAAGTCGTGGTTGAGAAATTGGACGAAGTTTCAACTAAGGTTACGACCAAGTATAACAAGGATGGGGCGACACCAGAAGATGACAAGAAAGCCCTTCCCGTCTTTACGGATGAGGAGTACTTGATTGCTTCTCCTGTAGTTCTCGGATTCGCCTTTGCCGAAAAACTTTGGCTCGAATTTACAGTTTCGGGGATCAAAGATATCGTTTGGAACGAAGGCGCTTACGATTCTCTCGTCTTAGAAGATAATACCAAAGCCATCGTTAAAGCCCTTGTCGAATCTCACAAATATCATCCGGCTGAAAGCATAGACGATGTCATTCAAGGTAAAGGTAAAGGACTTGTGGCCGTTCTTCACGGTCCTCCTGGTACAGGTAAAACTCTTACCGCCGAAGGTATTTCCGAACTTCTCAAATGTCCTCTCTACATGGTTTCAGCCGGAGAACTCGGTACCGATCCTCGTACTCTCGAAGCAGAGCTTCAGAAAATTCTCGATATTGCTCATGCGTGGGGTGCTGTCCTCCTTCTCGACGAAGCAGATGTTTTCTTGGAGAAACGTACGATTCAGGATATTCATCGTAATGCTCTGGTTTCTATTTTCTTGAGACTTTTAGAATATTTCCAAGGTATTCTTTTCTTGACTACAAATCGGGTTGAGACATTCGATGATGCGTTCCAATCACGTATTCATATCGCGTTGAGATATGGAGATTTAAGTCCCAAGGCCAAGAAGAGTGTCTTCAAAATGTTTATTGAGAGGGTTAGGGTTTTGGAGGGGATTGATACAATGCCGTTCACCGAGGAAGATTATAATGCTTTGGCAAGAAATAATTTGAATGGACGACAGGTATGTTTTTATTCTCTTTCGATCTTCTTGTTTTCACACTGCCCATTTCACTTTTTGAACACAACTAATACCACGCCCTAGATCAAAAACACAATCCGTACAGCTCAAGCCCTCGCCGTCAATAACCGCGAACCCCTTTCCATGGAACATATCCAACGTGTTTTGGATGTCTCAAATGCTTTTGATAGGGATTTGAAGGGTGGACCGGGGTTTGAGGATGCTATGAGGGGTTACTTTTAATTTTCCCTAATGGTCATGGGGGGTATTTCTTTGGGCATAAACAAAACAACATTCAGTGGTCTGTCTTTTACAATTTCGATATTTGAGGGGGGGAGAGGGGGAAGGAAAACGGTAATCATTGGTATTGGCGACATTCCCCACTTTTCTCTTATGTTATGGATTTTTTTGTTTGGAGGCTTAAGTATGCGAGATCGAATGGGTAAATGATACATACACATGGTAGTAAGCAGGCGGAATTAGGGTTGGATTGGAGGGATTATGAAATTGGGGTAGTCTAGGAAAGATATATGGTGGAGGATGATGGATAGTGGATAGCATGGGTTTAGGTCGCGGTGGGTGAGAAACTTTTGGGTATCTGTGGGTAATTAATCACCTACTGATGAGTTTATGAATAGTAATGTATTTGTTTTTTACATGATGTTGTGTCTCTCACTCGGTGCATTCTTGGAGTTACATAGTGCATCTAATTTCATGATCTGTATCTAGCTACTAGAGTACAGGTAAGTATGGAATAGGGTTGTTCGTAGAGTAGATATTTATTTGTTTAATATGAATGTGAAATATTGTAGAGGATCTACTTTAGCTCTAAAGATCATTAAATCAATTACCCTTTTATTTATCGCACTGCTATAACACTATCTAGTTAAAGGTAATCGAATTACTGTACCGTAGTTGTTCTATAAAATAAGTGCCCCCCCTTCCCCCCCATCTTCCCCTCCTAACCTATAGATACCCAAATAAACGTATCATCGTCATCTCAAAACTGGGGATGTAGTATAGTGGTATTATGTTCGCTTCGCATTATATTGTTGCCGTTTCATGATGGTTATGATATGAGAATTGTGTGATTGTGAAAGGTCCCCGGTTCGATCCCGGGCATCTCCATGTTTTTTTGGGGGGGGTTTTTGGACTTTTGGGGGGGGGGAGGGGGCAGGGGGCAGAGGGAGGATGAGGAGAGAGGGATGATGATGGTGGAGAGGGGGATTTTGGAGGAGGGGATGAGGGAGGGAAGGGAGAGAGGTTTTGGGATTTTGGGGTGGAGAGAGAAAAAAGGGATAAGGGAGGGAAGGGGATGAGGGGATGAGGGGATGAAGGAATGAGAGGATTTGTTTTTGGTGGATGGGAGGAGAGAGGGGATGGTGTGGTGGGTTGGTGGTGGGTTGATGGGTGGATGGGTGAGTGGGTATTTTTGGGCGGCGGGGGGAGGATGTGTGTGTAAGTGGATGAGTTAGGTTGCTGGGAAGGAGAGGAGGGGCATATCTTCTTGATGGAGCAACAACGTTAAACAGAGATAGACGAGAGATACCGGTAGACGAGAGAGAGAGACAGTGAGTAAGTAAGTGGTCCACAAGTACCAATCGCATGTGGATAGGGGTGGGGGAGGAGAGGTTCGGGAATCGGGAAGCACGGTAGGTATGTGATACATACGGGTGGAAGGGTGGGTGACGAATATTCTACTGAGTTACTGGTGAATACCTACTCAAGTAGGATAAAATGGTTTAGAAGCGGAATAGAACGGAGGTAATGGGATGGATGGATGGATTAATTGATTGATTGATCACTGACTGGGAGAATTGGGAGAACTGGATGGAGACTGGGGGTTACGAGAGTATTGTATTTTATTGTATAGTATTATGGTTCTTGCTTGGAATTGCAATTGTGTTTAAGTAGGAAGGATAGATAACTTGTCATGTTCATTGATGGGTACATCGACAATGGTCTTCAGACAGAAAGATACAACGTATTCCAAAATCGTACAGAGAAGAGTCATTTCATTATAATTTTACATCGCTCGCATAATACATGCTATGAATCAAATGGCCAAATATTGCCAAACTCATCTCTTTGAAATCATTCAAAATCAAATCTTCTCTATATTCCTTCCTTCCGCCATACGTGTACATACATGCGGAGTGAAGACGCGAGTTTTGGGTTGGAAATCAGTATCAAGGATTCATTCTAGAATCATTTCAGGATTGAGGTTTGTAGAAGGTAGCTTTCGGATTATTTGATCATAAGAATTTGTGAGAGTTTTTTTGTTTAGTTTCCTGGGTTCTTGGCGACGAATTCAACACCCTTTTGGATGTTCTGTGAGGGGAATGTGTTAGTTTTATATGTAAAAATGGTAAAAGTCAAAAGGCTGGCATGAGGGGAAAAACAAACCTTCTTTAAGTCGGCCAAGCATGCCTCCAACAACTTCTTCTCAAAATCATTAATCTTTCCAACTTTCAAAATCTCTTTAACACCATCTGGACCCAACTCAACCTTGCTGGCAAAGAAATCAACACCTTGATCCTTGTACAATGGGCTGTCAACGAAAGTTGGCTCAATAACACCAGTCTCTCCTTGGGAAGCTCTCAATAATGATTCGGCCATACGGGCACCAGCCATAGCCATGGAGAGGGTAGCGGAACCAGCACCATCCTTAGCTTGAACAACTTCATCACCACCGAATTGAACACGCCTAAGAAGGTCTACGTCACCGACAAGATCTGGGTGGGTGGATTGCGAGAAAAGAGGAACAATGGTAACACCGGAGTGACCACCAACAACAACAATGTTCTCGTTGGCAGGGTCGGACTTCTTGATCTCACTGACGAATCTGCTGGCTCTAACAACGTCCAAAGTGGTAACACCGAAAAGTTTCTTTGGGTTGTAAACTCCCTTTGCCTTGAAGATCTCGGCAACGATTGGGACGGTTGAGTTGACTGGGTTGGCAATGACGAGAATCTTTGCATTTGGTGCAGACTCAGCGGCAGCCTTGGCGAGATCGCGAACAATGGATGCGTTGGTGTTGAAGAGATCATCACGGGTCATACCGGGTTTACGTGGGACACCAGCTGGGATCAAGACGATTTCAGCACCTGTGAGGGCGGCGGCGAGACCAGATGGCGTTGGCTCATATCCCTTAACCTTAGATTTGGTGTTGATGTGGGAGATATCTGCTGCGACACCTATTCATCCAATTAAAAATCCTATTAGCATATCTGTACATCCAATTCCCTTTACTTTAGAGCTTCTCAACAATAGTCTTCTTGTAGAAAAAAAAGACGACGAACCTGGACCTCCACGGATATCGTACAATGCCAAATCGGTGACGCGGGGGTTTAACTTGAGGAGAAGAGATAATGGTTGTCCAATTCCTCCAGCAGCACCGAGAACTGTAACTTTAGACAGCTATTTGAGTAAAATTAGTTGAGGTTCATAACGACGGGAGCTAAGCAAATAAATAGCTGGAAGAGATATCGGACGGAATATGATCTTACATCTCTAGCTGAAGCAGAGAAAGCTCTGCATTGGACTGCGCCAGTCAATGCTCTTCGTGCGGCGAACATGATGTGAAATATATTATGTGATGGTGAAAAGAAGAAAGAATATTGTGAATTGAGTATTTTATTTGATGAGGGACAGAAAAGGCTTTCGGTGGAGAGGAATCTTTTGTGCCACCAGCTGTTTGTTGTTGCTGAGGAAAGTTTCCGGGTTGTTCCCGATCGTTGAGACTAAGCTCGAAGGGGAAAAGTAGCAGAGCATTACCGTGTCACGTGTATAGAATGGACCGAGGTCGGCATTGGGAAGATATTGGTTTATTTTCACAGAATCATTTCGGTACATTGTCGTTGGGAATGGGTTAAGGACGCCAATCCTAGTTATGTATATGTGAAAATCGATGATATTTGCAACTAGACTTGGCCTTCATCCCCAAATTCATCACAGCTTTCTCCATATATGACTTCTCAGAGTTGAGAGCAGATAGATTTGCCTTTTCTATAACTCGGATCAACTGTCGAAGTTAGAGGGCATGTTATTAATATCATTCACTACATATTTCTGTCCAGAGTTCTATCGCCAAGGGGTTCTGTTCCGCTGTCGTTCGATGTTTGAGGTTTACCCGAGCATTCAAACCGTTTATCCGAGTACTCGTAAGGTTGCACTCTTCCGATAATTGCCCTTACTCAAGACACTAATTTTACCCAACAACAATCGTTGACCCTAAGCAAGTGCTCTACATGTGTGATCTAGTGATTTGATTCGAACGCTTAAATAGTCTTGTCGTCGATCCAATCCTGTTTCCAGTCCGGATGAATTAGGGGTGTGGGGGAACACATGTGGGCGGGGTTGTACTCGTACAGAAACAGTAATATTTACAACTCTGGATATCAGCCTGAATACAAAGTTCTTGGCTTCACTGAAATAAGATGTATAACTATATACATTTTGACTTAAGAGATAATTCGATGTTTTACTTCCTTTTCATGATTCAATACTATTAAAGTAAGGATTCACAATCTCGTTTACACTTCGTACCACAAAATCCATTGATTTATTTCCCTCTTATCCTCAACATGTCCAACGGCATCCTTCGAGTAGAAGGCGAGCAAATTGTCGATGCCTCCGGTAAACCCGTCATACTTCGGGGAGCTGGTCTGGGAGGATGGATGAATATGGAGAATTTCATAACTGGCTACCCCGGCCAAGAACATCAACATCGAGCTGCCATGTTGAAAGTTCTTGGCCAGGAGAAATACGAGTTCTTCTTTGACAAATTTTTGGAGTATTTCTTTATGGAAGATGATGCCAAGTTTTTTGCTAGTCTGGGACTGAATTGTCTGCGTTTACCATTCAATCATCGACATTTTGAAGATGATATGAACCCGAGAGTTTTGAAGGAAAGTGGGTTCAAGCATTTGGATCGCGTGATTGAACTTGTAGGTATATCTCAAATCCCGTGTCTACATGTCTACATATATTGAGACAAGCAGTGCGCCAAACACAATATCTACACAATACTGGACATGCACACCGTCCCTGGTGCCCAAAACCCAGACTGGCATTCCGACAATCCATCAAACTACGCCTCATTCTGGGACCACAAAGATCACCAAGACAGGACCATCTGGCTCTGGTCACAAATCGCTACACGCTATCGCGACAACCCCTGGATAGCAGGCTACAATCCCATCAATGAACCCTGTGATCCACTGCACCACCGCCTCCCCGAATTCTACACCCGTTTCGAATCCAGCATCCGCAAAATCGACCCTTCCCACATCCTCTGGCTCGACGGAAACACCTTCGCCATGGAATGGAAATCCTTCACCACCATCCTCCCTAACTGCGCCTACGCACTTCATGACTATTCATCCATGGGCTTCCCCACCGGAACCCCATTCACCGGTTCTCCCTCCCAAATCGAAAACCTCGAATCTAGTTTCCTGCGCAAAAGCACATTTATGAAAACCCACCGCGTCCCAATCTGGAACGGCGAATTTGGCCCAGTATTCGCCGACCCAACACACGACCAAAACGCCCAAGAAACAAACACCCAACGCTACAATCTCCTCGGCGCCCAATTAAACATCTACGATAAATATCAAATCCCCTGGAGCATCTGGCTGTACAAAGACCTCGGACTCCAAGGCATGGTCACCACATCTCCCACCTCCCCATATCATACCATCATCACTCCCTTCCTCCACAAGAAACGCGTTCTCCAACTCGATGCCTGGGGTTCCCCGGCTTCAGAGTCCCTCAATGAAGCATTAGATCCGTTGGTAAAATGGATAGAAGAAAATGCCCCCAAGGCAAAAGAACAGTATCCGACTCCCTGGGGAGTTCAGAGACAACTGTTGAGAGGCGTGGTGCAGACGTATGTGGCGAGCAGTTTCGCAGATGAGTTTGCGGAGCTTTTTAGAGGGTTGGGGGAGGAAGAGCTGGATGCCTTGGCGGGGAGTTGGAGGTTTGAAAATTGTGTTAGGAGGGAGGGGTTGAATAGGGTGTTGAGTGATTTTGCGGAGGGGAGAAGAAAGATTGAGGGGGAGTGAAGGGGTTGGCGTAGATTAAGATGTGGAGGGTAACACCGTTATTCATAGCAGTTAAAGATGGAAACAGTAGTTCCACATCTCCACCATCAAGTGTTGGAAAACATACGTTTCGTACGCTGAAGATATTCCAATTATCTCTCAAAGCTACTATATACAATCCGCTGATCTTTGCTAAAAATACAAAGACATACTGCTAATCATCAAACCCAGCCCATTATTAATCACATCATGTCCATCACAAAGCTTTTCCTTTTCCCTTTCTATCAGTCATACCGTTTCGATTATCATACCCATCGTTCACCGATATGTCATCCCTCGTCTCCTTCCTCGGTGATACAAGAGGAACCAAAGGTTTAGCTGCACCCCAAACATCATCCCTCGTCTTTTGTCCGGGCGGTATAAGAGGGAACAAAAGTTCCGCGGCCTCCGAAACATCACCCCCCGAAGCCGCCAATGATTTAACTGCCTGACTACCCGTGGCTCCACAAGTTATAAGCTGATGTATATCCTCCAATGGAAATCGCGGCAGGGGCCCCATCTCCTCATCCTCAGGATCCCCCGGCACCAAGAAAAGAGTAGCCGCATATGAAACATCACCTTTGGCAGCCGTCAACGCTTTAATAGCCTCATCGTGCGAGGCTCCCAATATTTCAAGTTCAACTATTTTATCTTTTGAAAGCATCGCCTGCTCTTCGATTTCCTCGTTGATATTGGTTAGATTTAAATATTTTAACTTCTTGAAATCGGACTTCTTGCGACGGGCGGGAGGAGTTCGATCTTCGAAAAGCAGATTATCCATGCGCAATCTGTCCGTCTGCTCCATAAGTTCTTGGACCGGATCAGGAGCGCAGCTATTCGTCAAAAAACCAAGCTCTTCGCCTTGATATTGTTGGACCGGATCAGGAGCAATACTCTTCGTCAAAAAACCAAGCTCTTCGCCTTGATATTGTTGGACCGGATCAGGAGCATTACTCTTCGAAAAACAATCGAGCTCTTCACCCTGATATTGCTGGACCGGATCAGGAGCACTACTCTCCGAAGATTCTCCAAGCTCTTTACCCTTTTGTTGGATCGGAATAGGAGCGCTGTTCTTTGAAGATTCACCACGCTCTTCGCTCTTTTTCTGAGCCGACTTAATTCTTATGCTTTCTAACACCATCGAACGCTCCCTTCGGAGAAACGAATCACGCTCTTCTTGGGAAGATGTATGGTTCTGTGAAACTACACCGTAGTGCCACTCATCTAAGATTTTCTCCGTGCCCTCCGCAGCCGAATTAGACCATTGCATCTGCTTCCGAGATGCTGCTTTCTTATCACACCAATTTTCAAAAATTTCCTTCGTGCGCCTTGCCGCTATCAGATAATTCTTGGCGAGTGTGATCTGAATGGGACTAAGTACACCCCTGATGCTTTCATATTCCAGACCTGTGATTTCCCACTTGGCCTGTTTAAATTCCTTGATATGTTTGGATTCGTCTTCGGTTACCTTCGCTTCAAAATCGCGCTTTGCAACAGGTTCGTGACAAATGACCTTGTGTTTACGTCCTATGTATTTCTCAAGCTCATGGAAACCGTCCGATATGGTCGCAAAGTCGTTAGGAATATCAAGCAATTCCTGCTTCCTCTCAAGTTGTCGTCTGGTCATTTCTTCACCCTCTTTACGCTCACGTTCTTTGGTCTCTGCGGGATCTTCGAACTCTTCGGAGGTTGTATGTGCTGCAACTTCTGCAACCTCTGCAGCCTCTGCAATATCTTCGAGGGGTATGATTTCATATACTGAAACGCGGATGCCTGTTGGAGGAGGTGTGTTTTGTCCAGATTCATTCGTCTGACGGCTTGACGTGGAACTTAGACCTCCAATGGCACTATCTCCTCGACGACGTCCCAGACCAGATTGCTCTACACTATTCCTTAGTTTATTTCCAGTATTAGCGAATGTATTTCGAAGAGAATCCAATCCCTTAAAACCTCCTCCGCGTAATCGAGTATCCGTTGATTCGGACTGGGAATTGAGTGTTATATCGAGTTCTTTCATCAAAACTCTCTTGGTACATCTCACCGAAGCAAAGTGTCTTTTTGTGTTAGTAGCCTCTACAGTATATCCACCGCGCAAATGTGGCGCAACCTGTACAAAGTTACAACCTGATCTGTCGCCAATACATTCGAGACCCCCTCCACGGAGGCGTCCAAAAACTTGTTTAAATTTGGATTTAACAACAGGATCTACGGCAGGCAGAGAAGCTCGTAGCGCATTGTTCCATTCCTCCATGATTATCTTGGCGCACTCTGCTCTAGAGACTCCAATACGTACGTGTCTGATACTTGGCGACCCGTGCTCACGCAGTAGCTGCATCTCCTGCCGAGTTTCATCATATTCTCTTAACAATTCCACATCGTTCAAGTAATCTTCACCTTTCCACGCTTTAGCGCCATTTTCTTCAAGAGCGTCTTCAATATCGCGCAGTTCTTGTATTTCCCATGCGAGCTGATCATAGTCAATCAGTAAAGTATCAATGGGTTTGTCTATACTCTGGTCCCGTGTCCAGTCATGATCTGTATGCCCGTCAACCATCTTTCGCACGAATGAGGTGAATTTATCGAGTTTCCGACGTATTCTTTCGCATTTGCGTCCAGACCCTGCTCCGCCACGCTGCTGGGTGAGAGACGCTTTCGAATTGAAATAAACAGCTCGTGCCATATTGACGTTTTCCTCGACAAGGATCTTGGCTTTCTTTGCCCTTGAAAGGCCATCATTTGCTAGCGTGATACTGGGTGTAAGCCCCTGGTCACGCAGGTTTTGAATTTCTTTCTTGAGTTTCTCAGTTGCATGTAGTTCTCTAAAAGTTGTCCAGAAACTAGGGTAGGGCTCCACTCTAACACCGCTTTCCGCAAGACTCCTTCCCATCACGCGTAAATGTTCTAAGTCCTCTAAGACTTGATCATATTGACTTAATATATTTTTGATAGTGTCATCAGAGCTTGAGACGTTTTCCTTTACACTTCGGGCTGGTGGTCTACCAGGCTGTCCAGGCTTGATAGGCTTGATAGGCTTGAAAGGTTTAACAGACTCGACAGGCCTTTGGTTATCTCTACAGCGAGGGAGAGCAGACGACTTAAAGTCGGCATCTTGTGCATGTCTGATCTTTCTCTCGAGGATTGCCTTTGCACGCTCTGCCCTCCTTTGGCCATCATGAATCAACTTGACAGAGTCTTCATTTCGATTTCGTATCTCCTCCACAATCAGCTCGAACGCCCGTAGCCTTTCCGTGTCTTCAATATCTTGGGGACAACCCCTATCCTCCATTACGACGTGTTTCTCTGCAAGAGTCCTTTCAATCTGTTGAAGCTCCACTTTCAACGCAAATATGTCCTCCCCGAGCTGATTATATTCCTCAAAAAGACGCTTTAATGGGAGCGGTATGTCATCATCCCGAACTGTGAGTTTACCCGACCGTTGGTGCTCGTTCTCCTTGTCCTCTTCTTTTATTGTGGTCTGTCCGTTTCCTTCATTTTGAGGTTTCTTCCTATCAGTTATGGATTTGCAGAATTTGTTTACTGTACGACAACATCTATAACGTGCGCATTGAAGCCCCCCTCCACCCCGATCAATAACAGGTATATTGGATTGGGCAGTTCGTGCCAGATTGTTTCTATTCTGGAGAACTTCCCTGGTCCGTCCTGCCTTCTTACAATCAAAATACATAAGCCGTTTTTGTATGCCCTCGAGTCTCAACACGAGCGCACGTATCCTTTCCGTTTTTTTCGAGATATCACTAGACTCGCCCACAATAGCGCTATTTTTTGGAAAAGTCTTCTCAATCTGGCGTAACTCCGCTTCTAGAGCTGCCACTTGTCGCTCAAACCGATAAAATCTATCATGTGCATTCGAAGTAAATGCCTCATGCTCGTTGTTCTCCTTTTTCCTTTCATTCTGGGTTTGCTTCTTGCCAATTACCTTTTCCCTTAAGAATTTGATGAAGGCTTTTCCCGTAGAACAATAGCTTTCACGTTTGTAACTCCGTCCTGATGATACCGATGGTGCATTACTCAGAACATCCGTATCGACATATGTTTCCCCTCCCCTCAAGTGCATTCTAGTTGATTCGGGGCCAGGCCTTGGATCGGAATGGGCACTGGAGCTATTGCTTCGAATGCTGCGAATTGAATTACTCGAGACCTCTGACCATTCAATTGATTCTTGTCTCATGGAAAGAGCTTCGCATATTATATCCCGTTCATTCTCTGCCCTCTTCGAAGTGATGTGTGCATCAACACGATATCTTTCATTAGCCTCACACATATACATTAGGTCCACGGTTGGATCATAGTCAGGGAACGTTTGCGCAAAAAGGTGAGAACCACCATAACCAAGATCTATGTCGTACTGGCAGTGATGTTGTTGTTGGCTTCTCTTAGTGATTTTCTTAGCGCGTTGTCCGTAAAATTTCCAGCCTACTGCACATCCTCCGCGTAGATGAGTAGAAGCTGAATCAAGGACCGGCGAAGCTGATTGTTCGATGTCTGCTTCAGTAATGATTCCGCGGATACAGCTCGGGCTGGACTTGCTGTCAAGCAGATACTGTCGCCAAGCTTTGCTTAAATCAGCGCAAGGGGGTTCGATACTGAATAGAGTTGACCGATCCGTGTTTGACCCAGAATTTCCCCCCGCTATGTCAGATACACTGGGTCTTGAAACAAGTGAATCTTTGATGTCTGACTCTGGAGAAGCTTTTAGGATTGAGGACCGTGTCCCAGCTCCATGTAGTTCAGTTTGAACCCATGGCCACTCAACCATTGAGCCCGAATTATCCTCTTTCAGGGAGTATGGATGCAACGTTTCTCTGAGTCCAGTGTCTTGTCTTCTCAGTTGCTCAACCCATTTCTGAACCAGCTCAGAGTGGGTTGATTCTAGATTCAATGTCATGTGATCTGCCTCAGAGCTGTTATCTGATATATAATTCGAATTGGTCATTTCCGCAGGCACGGCTTTGTTGGAATTCACCGTACTAATAGCTTGTTTATAGAACTCTTTGCTTAGTTCTGTAAAGTCTAACTGAAGATCCGATAATGCTGGGCTCGGGCCGTGTGTCCTAGAGCTGACATCAGGTGTCATATCCGAGTTGCATATCTGCGAGCCTTCACGCAGCTTAACGTCACTTGGTCCAAGACTGATTGTAAGTAGTTGTGCAATCCCCGCCTTAGTTTTTATACACTGATTGGCATTTGGGCTTCGCGCTTCCGCAGATTCTAATTGTGGAGGTGGCCGCCAATTCAACATGTAAGGGCGAGGAATGCAATGGAGTAGTTCATCGCGCTGCCAACACAACATTAGTATATGTATACATGAGGGGCGTATACTAGACGTGACTTCAAGCTTACATCAACCACTCCACGAACATGAGAGCCACCATCTGGTATAGACTGGGCATTACTGACGTAAACAGGACAACTCTGAAGATATTCCAGGCTATGGGCAAAATCTTTTATGATCTCTTTGAATCTTTCATGGATTGCATGAATATCTTTCGAGTCTTCGAAGACTAGCTCGATGTTGATGAACTTCCATGAAGGAGGTCTGTGTACTCTTGGGACTATGTTGAGGGAGTTGGATATCGATTCTTTGATTGTTCCATCGATGGACCTGGCGTTTTGTATTCTGTCAATTAACTTATCGAATAAATGTTGAAGTTTGCTTTCGCTTGGGATAGACCAAGGTATGAATGGTAGATGAACGATGATTTCTGATAGCTTTGGCTTCAATAATGGAGCATGTTGGTTGATCAATGGCGGAACTGGGGTAGATAAAGTAGCCATATTGGTCGAATATCTCTATTGTTGCTAGTATGATATTTGTAATAATGGATTTAATAATAAAAGTAGCTATGCAGAGCATGCAAATATTCGTAATTTTGAGCGAGAGTAATTATTATATGGATAATGAATGGTGATGAATGGCGATGAAGAATGCTGAAAGTGGTTTGTTCGCCCCAAAAAATAAAAATAACAAAAACACTACCTCGCAGCTATCTCTTCCAAATGCATTCGTTCTTACCACTCCAAATCAATCATGGAATAAGGGCCTACGGAATCTACGATAGTGTTGAATGGTGATTGAAGGAAGGAATACCTTCGCACCTCCCTCATCAGGGCCTCTTGTCAAAATAATATTTCACCATATGTGATACGAATAAAAACCGCCAGCCAGGTCAACTGTCAAAAGATAGCACATCCTGTATAAATTGTCAATGTGAGCCGTTTATACCGACTCAATATTGGAAGCACCGTCAAACTGCGTCGATGTTACACTAGCTAATACAATATACAAAGCAGGCAGTCACAACCAGACACTTTTGCAAATACCTAGAATAACAACTCCTTTGAGCAACCATCAGCATTCTTCCCCTTGTTACGAACTTTCTGGATTACATACCGATCATCACATTCTCTCGTTAGCATCTCGTCTACCTGATGCACTCAAATAGACCCATATCATAAAGCAAAGATCCGTCCTAGAACACCAGTATTTTGGATATGTTACACTCCGTCAACACCGTTGATTGATTGATTGATTTAATTTACGTCCATCTTCAGTCTAAGACTATATAGGACGGCTAGACCCTATAGGCACTAGCAGATAACTTTTTATTTTACAAAAATAGATATATTCGATTTGGGGAAGTGAAAACAAATACTGGGGACCAATGTCTGCTTATTATACACATTGCATATAATAAGAAAATATAAATATCAAAAGTTATAAAAGGGTTACCCCTCTACCCTCTCTTTCCTTCACTACTACTTCTTTCTTTTCTACTACTGCTACTACTTCTTCCTCTTTTACTATTTCTTTCTCTTCAACTATTTCTTCCTTTTCTACTACTATTTCTTCCTCTGTTTCTTCTTATTTAAGAGCTCTTGCTAAGTGCTATGTTCTTATAGCAATTTTGGTGGTATTGATGAATTTGATAACTAGTTCAATTCCTACTTTTGTATATAATAGGAATTGTATAGTAATCTTGGATAATGGTATATTTTTGAAAATCTCTTTTCTTTCTGTTTTATATATAGGACAACTAATAAGAAGGTGTTATGGTGCCTCAATATTATCATATATACATTTGTTATTGGTGAATTTAAACCAATGTAAATAAGATTTAATATATCTATAGCCTATTTTGAGCTGAAAGTACACACTAGCAGTGTTTCGACTAGTTCTGTTTAGTAATTTGATTTTAGACCCAATTTTCCATAGAAATAGCTTCGAATATATAGATAGGAATTGATTTGATCTGAGTTTGTATTAATTAAGGGTAAAAACCTATTGATTTGAAGTGTGCTGCTTGATTATTATATCTAGTAAACCAAAGCTTATTTCATATAAATTGAAGGATTTAGTAGTTGTTTCCTTTGCTAGTTTATTTGCTAATTTGTTCCCTTTCACCAATATATACCCTGGGATCCAATTCAAGGATATTTCTGCTTCTTTTGCTTTAATAGCCTTGATTGCTTTGATTGCTTGTATTTGATATACCTGGCCTGGGTAATCTAATAATGTTTTCAAACGGTATAGGCCTGCCTGATTATCTGAATATATTTTGAATTTATTGTTGTGTTAAGCAATTGAACTTGTATATTCGATAGCTTTAGTAACTTTACAAAGTTCTCCATTATATACTAATTGGTTTATATCAATATTGGTTTACTTTTAATATAAGATTCGATCGTTTGATTATATTACAACTATATCTATACTAATATCAATACCTTTTAGTGTAAAAAAGGCATCGGTATATATATAAATAATATTCTCATCTCTATGCTTGAAGATTATATTGTAAAGAATAATAGCATCTTCTTTTGAAGAATTATTAATATTGATTCTGAATAGAATTTCCTTTTTTTATGGGGGGAAAATTGAAATGAATAATCTTTTCCAATAAAAAAGGATCAAAATCCTTATTTATTGATTCTCTGATTCTATCGAATTAAATTGGCTTATATGGTTTTCTTTGGGGGGTAGGGATCACCTCCAAATCAGTTTGATATTGAGCTAATATTCTTTTTTCGATATTGATTAAATGATTTAGAAAAAGTTTGGCTAAATAGAACATATATTATCTAATATTTGAATCTAATCTGATATTTGAAAGATTTAAAATTACTTCTATCTCCATTGGAAAGA